TCCCCCCCCCCCCCCAACAAGAGCACGGCCTCTGATTCAGGACTTGGAATGAAAACTAGAGTAGGGGAAATATAAGAAGACAGATGATCCCACAAAGCCAATGTGTGCAGTGTGTGTGTGTGAGAGAGAGAGGTAGGGTGTTTCTCCAGGTGTGTGTGTAAGTTTGCATGCTGACATTGAATTTCCAAAAGGCCTTTATCATATAGTGCATTGTATTGTGACAGTTTATTAATCCATGTGAGGACAAGCTTCTAAAAATCTGCGGCACTTTTTTCAGTGGTGTTTTGTATTAGGTAAATTATAGTATTTTGGAAAGACAAAACACACACACACACACACACATATATACCTCATTTACATCTTTACTTCAGGGTGAAAATGTGGTTTCTTTTGCCTCAGCCACAGTGAGTCACGGTGTCTGCTCAGCACACAAACCATTTCCTGTGTCTTCTCGCCAAGCCAATCAGATGACAGAACAAACCAACACAGTTTTGTTTTCATCGGTTTTTATATGAGACATGGGGGGGATCTGTGAGACAAAGTCTTCATTCATTTTGGTTAAGGTGTTTTTGTTTAAGCTGCACTAGTGACCATGCATAGCGTAATGAAGGAGTGACAGACCATAAATTATTCATGTATATAAATGATTTGTGTATAAAAGGAGCTGGTTGTTTGTCACTGAGAACCACATGACAAACACATCTCTTTGATAAGGATGCCAAGAGAAGTTCTTGAACATTTCTGCACTGCTGTGTTGTGCATAATATATTCCATCTGCGCTGTTGAAGGAATTATTGATGATTGAACTCTCTTGGACATGTTTACTGGCGTAATGCATACAGGGTCCTGCACTATTCCCTGGCTGACTAAGACACTGACTGAAGCAGGCAGTCACGCATGCAGACACTCAACATGGGAATGTGCACGCATTTGGTAATGTCTCTAGAAGTTATCATAGTTCAGTATCTGAAACAAGGTAATGCAGATCACTGTACTAGAAACAAGACACTTTACTGACGACAAATTCAAAAAAGCATTTTGCAGTTTGAAACTATAACTAAGGATTTTTACTGTACCAGTTTCAACAGACTTACATTAAAGCTTTTATTTAAATATTTTTGTTGCGGAAATCTGCTCCCAAACTTGTCTTAATGTGGAGAGGTGCTGTTAAAGCCTCCTGCGGCCAGACTCACTGAACAGCACTGGCAGCAGTGCAGACATTAGCTTCTACAAGGTTTTGAGTGAGACTGACCTCTCTAACCAATCAGAGATTTTCAATTATGTCTGCTTGATCAGTAAGTTTTGTTGCATTCTTATTTATTGTAGTTTCATAAGGACAAATATCTTAAGAGCTGGGCTGAGCGTGGCAGAGCGTAGCAGATCATAGTGGAGCAGGGAGAGGGAGTGCTGAGCAGAGTGGAAATGGGATTTATGATGAAAGCAGTGACACTAATTAAAACAGTAAACAAAAACAGTTAGCTAAAAGAGACTACCACCCAGAGTTGGGTAATAATTGCCACTACCATTACCAATAGTCATCTGATTATCTGTCAACATCAAAAACAATTATTAATGCAGCTGTGTGGTTTTATAGCTACTTGACATGTACTGTACTTTAATTTAAACTGTACAGTCTTACAACCCTGAATCTTTCTTTTAACAACCACGTGCTCTTTCAGTGTGGAAAAATGAAACAAAGAACAGCAGTAGTGACCGGAACTAGTTTTGTTACATGCAGCCGTTCAGGAGGAGCGCCAGCGAGCCAAGGACAAAAATGAGAATGAGGTGGAGTCCACCAGCTGTGCCAACGAGGACATGCCCGTGGAGAAGATCCTGGAAGCTGAGCAGGCGGTGGAACCCAAATCCGAGACCTACATTGAGACCAACCTTGGTGCGCCGTCCAACTCGGTGAGCTGGTACTTTTATAAATTCATTGGCAAGCACTCACGTACTGTGCCAATCTACATGGTCACACTCATGAGCACACACAGTGGGTGATTTGTTTCGATTTACCCCATGAACCGGAGGGGGAGCATGTTTTGTCTCATGAGTACGCCTATATTTATTAGGGTATTGCAGTTGAAAAAAGGTTACTATTCTACAGTATATTTATACCGTGGCAAATTAAATACTAATTTTCAATTGGCTGGTATTTTGTAGGCCTGGTAACCAGAACACTAGTGTGTCTAAAATGCATACTGTATAACGACTGCATCAGTACCTTCTCTTTGTTTTACAGCAAGTCTTACTGGTGAAAGTAGCTTTAACTGAAAACAAATGCAACAAAATGTGTGACAGTTTGAACCACTTTGACATTTTGCTGTGATAAGTGGCCATTGTATCGGCATAATAAGATACTCCAAGGTGAACACCTCATTGTATAGTGTTGCTTATTATAAAGAGCTTTTTAGAGGGTGTCACACATAAGCCAGGTCAGCTGTGTTTTTAAATCATATTATTTATGATATTGTTTTTTTGGTTTCCTGTTTAAAAAGTGTGATTGTTTTTTGTTTTGGAGTCTAAAGCTGAATCCCTGCTGCCTGCTGATAAAGATGTTAGTGAAGATCAGACATGACTACAGCTTGTCTTCTCCTTTTTGGTCCCTTTGGAGGTGGCTGCTAGTGGTCTACAATGGTAGTTTACCTGTTCACCTTGTATCTTCTCCTTCAGCTGTGAGCTTTCTCATCCATCCCCTCAGCTGGGCACATTGGGCTGTTTTTGACACAGAGAAGACTAAGTGTGATGAATAATGCAACAGGCAGACTATTCCTAAAAGCATCCCACAAAGCCTCAGCTTTCTCAGGAATTCTGCTGGAACATGAGAAACAGAGGAGCTGTGCATAAGCCTACCAAAGGAGCCAAGGGGAAAGCAGGATTGCAGGGTGAGACTGGGGGAGAGAGTGAGAGAGAGAGAGGGCTGCCTCTGGGATTCATCTGCTTCAGGGGAGGGAAATGTCCTGTGAAGTAAAGGTAGAAATGGTAGGCTGTTATGTGAGTAATTAGGAGCTATTTTGGGGGCCAGATGGAAATTTAAGAGATGAGTGTTGGTATGCCGATGAAGGAGAAGGAGTGGGGAGTCATGGGGAGTGGCTAGCAGCTCACACTAATGCAGTGATTGTGTCTGAGCTCAACCACCTTGGGCCTCTCAATGCCCACTGTCTGCTCCAAGAGGAGGTTTTCTAAAGAACTATAGAAAAAATGACAACAGCACTGAAATGCTGTACATGGCCAAGAATTTGTTAATCACATTTATGTGGAATCAAATTATAATCTTATTATGTTCATCAACCTACGGAATCATCCGTGTTCCAGAGTCAGTGTAAGTTGTAATTACAGTAGAAGTATAACTTAATTTATTTAATTTGTCTGCGTTAGGACTGGATCCGTTTAATTACGCAATTTTATTTGTCATTTTGCACATACAGTATGTGCCACCTCTTTGAATGGTGTTCAGATTATCTTCCACAATTTATACCTGCTGCCAAGACTTTTATTTTTATGTATTCAAAGGCTCAGTTTATCAGTATTTTCTTATTAATGGTCCAGTATGTGGTCGTTCACAGATAGGCTAGATTTTATTGTGCCAAAATATTGACCTTTGAAACTTTGGCTCCCACCCAAATGGAGTTGGAAAAAAAATGAATTTTATGTATTCAAATAGAACATTTTGAGTGTGTTGAGCACCATAAACAGTTCAGACAAGGTGTGTTTTGGCTAAAAGATCAAAATTACCATCTGTGGCTGTCTCATTGGTTATGCCTACCGATGTCCATAGCAACAGTTTGTCTGTCACAGTGGGAATTTCAAATGTGGAGAAAAAGGAGGGGAAAAAACACTGTATCTACAAATTGGAGTAAACATCTATCTATTTATTTATTTTTAACAGTTTGGGTGAACTGACCTTTTAATTGAGGTGGAGCCCATTAATCTTGGCAGAGTTTCAGCATGTGGGCTGTCCTGACCACAAGAACTCTCCTTCTGTCCCCTTGCCTCATGTCTATGGGGTCTCCATTGAGAGGCGTTGCCCCGCCTGCTGTAATTAATCACAGGGAGCGTGGGTGATGAGGGTACACCATGAATAGGTCACCGCTGCTTTCTGATGGCCAAGGTCTGGCCAAGGTGAATAAAGTGTGTTTATCTCAGAACAGGAGTCAAACAGCTGTTAGTGATGTTCCTTCAACCAGTCAAGGAGAAATCTTTTCTTTAATAGGAGGGGGAAGGAAAAGGTGATTTGTTAATCCTGAGGGCGTTTTTTTTTGTTTGTTTGTTTGTTTCTTTCTTTCTTAACTTCAGTTGCATGCATTCCAATATTTTTTTTATCAATCTCTGTTTTTTCTGTTATTTTTGGATGGCTGTTCTACTGTCTATGCATTAGTTTATATTAAGGCATAGTTTCTTATTATTCCTGAACTTAAGACAGGAAGTGTTGCTGTTATTTAGGTGATAAGTAGCCAATGATTCATTCCCACTCCAGCATATGAGGAAAGTTTCTCATTTCAGTCTAAAAAAGTGGGACACTTAAGTAGTTCATTTTAATACTGATCTGTATGAGTACCCAATTTTCTCTCTGTCTGATTCAAGCAGAATAATGAAAAACTGAAAGACGGATCTTTCGTCTCCCCTCCTCCAGTGATGAAAATCTCATAGGACAATATGCAAACCTGGCATTTATCGAAGTTGCTGAAATGATCTACTAGCTATGAACCCTTTGATTTGTTCACAATGAAGATAGATTTAAAAGTTCTTCTGTTACCTTTTGTCTCAAGTGGATGTTTTTGTTTTTGTTCTAGCATCCTTCTGTTTATTTGCTTCAGCTTTTGGAGCAGTCCATTAGAATAATCTCGTAGTAGAACAAGAGGAAGTAGCTCTTACAGTCGAGCTGAGAGATACTCCTTGAACTTTTGCACTTTCATACATGGAGGTTAATGTTATTCCTTCACTGGTCACAGTGATCTCCTCCATTATGGCTTGATAACATCCTAAATGCTGCTCTGTGATTTAACAGTAAGTACAGTAATGTGAACGGTACAGGAAAGTGTAAGCTCCTCCTTCTATGCTATTTCCACAGTGAAAGGCAAAGAAACCAGGTCAGTGTAAACACAGCTAAGATGTCCATACAACATTCATGAGGCTCACCATGTTTAACGAGAACCCTGGGACTTGTATTCTTCTGAGGAGGGATGGCTCGACCATGGCACACCCTGAAGCCCTCTTTTGTTTTGTTTTTTTCCTTTGTTTTGGTTTAGTCTGCCCTTTGGAATGAATTAGCTGAATCTGTTTATGTGTTTTCAAGAGGAAGCACGGCTCACCAAAATTGTCGCACTGAGCTGCACCGTCCACATCTCCCACAGAGATCAGATGCTGAAATATTCATAAGATGCCTGTTTTCTTTCTTCCCCTGAAATAAAAAAAGACAACTTCCAGCTTTCAAAGCAGTGTAGGCTTTGTGTCTGGTTTAGTTTTTCATATTTCAGCTACATATCTGTGATACTCTGCAGTCAGTGTTAGTTTCATACCATAGGGAGAGAATCTTCAGGAGAGTACAGCATAGACTGTGACCTGTGTAATATTAAAGGAGAACGTGAGTGGAGGGATGTTTTCTCCTTCATCTTGAACTAATCTCTTGAGAGCTGCAGTTGATGGTCAGGATCCTCTGAGCTTTTAGCATTGATCGGTGGGATTTAGCAAAGGAAGTTGGGGAGAAGTTGCTGACTGTTTTTGTCAGAGTGAGAGTTCACACAGGGATACTTACAATTTAAGGATGTTTACTTGATTTAAAATTATGCACAAAAGCGTGTACACAAAGTCTTTGTTTACACACATGCATATCAAGGGTATGTACTCCTGAGATGATGGTAAATTACTTGTTAGAGATTGGCAGTATTGTTTGGGATTTTCCCCCCTCCTGCCCAGATGCATTTCCATTTTAGTGAGTTAGTCATACTGAATGTGTGTTGCATTAGTATTCCTCCACTGCTCATAAACTCCCTGTGGGTCAAGGAATAATGGTTGCTAAGCTGATGTATCAGGACAGTTAAGGACAGTCAGTCCTTGTCTTTGGGCTGGTGCGTGAATCGCACTAAGTAATGGGTATCTTAACTGGAAAACAAAGACATAGACAGGTAACACAGAGATTCTGGGAGGGTGAGGAATCTGGCCACCTGAATTACAATGTGTATCTTTACAAAAAGTCTGTTTCATGGCTAATTCCAATATTTTGTGGTTTCGTTTTCTTTACATTTGACTCTTCTTAGAACAAGAAAAATAAAAAACGCTTACAAATACAATAATTCAACTATTTTATGCATCCAAATTTAATTCCTGGAGTGTGCAACATTTTTGAAAACCATATTTGACCATAATTTAGGGAAATGTTCAGTATAGCCTCAGAATTTTTAAAATCCCATCTGCTGCCTTGTTCATTAGTAAATGTGGTCTGACTTCTTCTTGATAAGCTTATCTTAGTTCAGTTCTTTAATCAAAGAATTGGTGTAAAAAGGTGTGTTGTGCTATTATTCAGGGCATTTGTACATTTGATGAAGTGTGCTTTCACAGCAGCAGGTTTTTCAAAACTGAGATTTAGGCTATTTAGAGCCCAGTGTGAGGAGAGGCTTTTTAAAAGCACTGCATCTTACATAACATTAAAATAATGGATATCTCCATGTCTCAGAGTGGTAAGATCTTTTGTTAAATTTTCTTCCAGCAATTATTCTCACATTAAGGTTTAAGTAGATCTAATGATGTGGCATACAGTATATAAAATGTAGCCTTCTCTTTACCTTCACTTGGACCTTTTTAATTCATGGAGAAACTACTCAGTGATCCTATTTTGGGCATGCTTGTTTTTATCATTTATCACTCTGCCGACCTTCATTAACAATGAAACTTTTTAAAACTTTTGAAAATGATAAAATATTATAGATACCATTTTTGATAGAAGAGTAGTTCTTATTAGTTGCATTTAGTCTCATTGCCATGATTTCAACAACACAATCATTGTTATTAAGTATTACTGTGGGTAAATATGAATAGCCATCTACACAATTTTACTGTAGATTTTACAAAGCCTTGCCTGGTCTGGTAATAAAACCCTGCTTGCACTCCTAAGTGCTTGTTCTATGGTGGAGTTTTAGTAAAGTGTCAGGAGGGGTCTCTTGAGCTCCACTAGCTGTCCAAATGGCTGATTTGTGTGGCAGCTAAAACGTCCCCAAAGAAAGACTCCGCTTGGTGAAAGTTGCTTTTTCACAGGCAGCTCTCTGCAGGCATTTCCTCCCATGAGCTCGGACAGAATCACTGTTCATTTTGTCTTCTTACTTGCTCCTCTTTAGAGGATATTATTCACAGTGTAGTACTTGTGTCAGCTTGAATACGTGTATGTGAATGTGTGATGACAACCTGACACCAGGCTCTAAGCCAGGAACAACACGCAGGCCAAAACCAAAAATATGATTCTTATTCATTTCATGCACTACCTGAATGTCTAAATGTCCAGATTTGTGTCCTTTTGTCTCTGTTTCCCTGTAGCCCAATGACCCTGTGACAAATATCTGTCAGGCAGCTGACAAACAGCTCTTTACCTTAGTGGAGTGGGCCAAGAGGATCCCCCATTTCTCTGAGCTGCCGCTGGACGACCAAGTCATCCTTCTACGAGCAGGTCTGTCACAGCAGAAAAAGTTCTTAAAAAACAGGCAAAAGAACCAACCAGCGATTCCAATGGTTGTCCATGATTCTTTTCACAATGACCCCAGATGTGTAGGTGCAATACATAATGTAACCTGAAGAAAAGAAATGAGTAACCAATAATGTATAAACACAAAATCTAGAAAATGGTTCATGACCACTTGATTCCCATCAGTCTAGTCTAGCCAGTTATTTGTTAGCCTTTATTTCAAATTACAAAAATTTCAAATTTTTTTTTTTGGATTTTTTTCCATACTGAATTTTTTTAATGGCCTGTTCACCCACATAGGTGTTTTAGACTGATTAGACTGATAAACTTGAAGCTTGGCAGAGCTAAAGCCAAGGTACAAGTTAAATGTATAAGTCATACTCTAAGAATATGAAGGAAATGCCCATCAAGCACAGAACTGAGAAGATGTAAATGCTAAATGCTGTTCTAAATAAGTAAATATGAATACCCTGCCTTTTAACAATGATACAACAAGTTTATTTTGCAAACATTCAGCAGCTCCATCCATGAAGCTGTCATCCTTCTAACTACTAACCAGAGTCATACCTTGTTGAGTGCTAGCAGGATAATTGTCATTCAACCTTGGTTTAAACGATGAGGTGCTTTATTTTTATGATCTGCGCGACATTTGTGTTAGAACATAGACTGAAATAACAGAAAGATTTCTTGGCGGTCTAAAGAAACCCTCTAAGAAAATACACTGAATTATAGATGCTAGTGCTACAGTAGCTCTCTGTATCTGGTTAGAATAGTTTCAGCGAAAGGGACTAATCATTGTATGTATCTTCTGTATGGAAAAGCAAGCTAGGATCACAGACTGTGAATCATCCGTCAGCCCTGTTACATTCACTAACATCACATGCAGGAAGATCTTTTGGGTTTCTCCAACACATTGCCCCTGGTGCCTGCCTGTCGCTTGAAATTACACCATTATATCCTAAATCCACCTCCAGGAAAATAAAATGCTACTACGCACCAATCCCTTAGACTGAAAAAAAAGATACTTCCATCATTCCTTATCCTGTGCAAATACAATGATGGAGAGACTTCAACAAAGCAGCACATCTTCTTAGCTCTCAGGTTTTCTATAAATAACCGCTTTAGTTCTGCTGTATCACAGATAAAAGCATCCCAGCTCCTCTCATAACCAACTCAACTCTGGGGAGAAGAGGCGAGTGTTGCCAGGCAGAACAGTTAAAGGGGCCCTGTCACTCAAAAGGCACCGTCTTGTGTCTTCAGTGCTCTCTGTGTCAAGCCCCTGCTTTGGCACATCAAGCCTGTTGTCTTTATTGTGATGGCAGGCACAGTTCATCCCTTTTACACACTTGTCTCTTCAGAAAGCATGATTCTAGGTAATAACTTGATGCCTGTGCTTGAGAAAGCTGCACGCCTTTACTGCACAGCTTAATTGATTCATTGGAATTTCCCCTTTGTTGTCAGTTTCATTTTGCTTGAATGCTGTGTGAACTTTGGTACTGGGATTTGCTTGTTTTGTTTTTTTTTTCTCATACTTTTTCCTCGATCCCTCTCCTCTTCTCTGTCTCAGGTTGGAATGAACTCCTCATTGCATCATTTTCACACCGCTCGATAGCGGTTAAGGACGGGATTCTGTTGGCAACTGGGCTGCACGTCCACCGCAACAGCGCCCATAGTGCCGGAGTAGGAGCCATCTTTGACAGGTAGTTACTACCACTAAAGCGTTCAGCCAGTTTTACACCGATCACCTGTGGTATTGCAACAGAAAATTCCCATGTGGCCCAAGAACGTTAACAGATGTGGGTAAAACTGTTGACAGGACATTTTAAACTATAAACCACATCAACTATCAGTCTTTGTATTATGAGTTTGGAATCAATGAAGGTTTCATATTTGAAACTTGCATGGGTTTAGAGCTTTTTTTTTTTTTTTTTTTTTTGATGTCATCACAATATAAAGACTAAGTTGAGTGGAAGCGCTCGGGCAAGGCCAGCAGAGGAATTACCTGGAAGCTAGAACATGTACAGTATATTAACTGTTTTCTGTTGTTTTGTTTTTTCCAATATTATTCCTCAATTCTGGTCATCATTTAGTTGCTTGTCATTTATTTTGAATTGAAAAACTGCAATTGTAGAGTCACAGTCTGTCTTACAATCTGCGCTGCTGCTTCTCTCTTTTCTTGTCTCTGCCCCACTGATCATCATCTTCTGTGCTCAGTCATTGGTGTTCACAGCCACAGGACATCATCCATTTCTGCATTAACTGTAGCAAGCATTAAGATACAGAGAAGTGATAATGTTATTTTATCTACTCCCCTCTCTCTTCACTATACAAATGAAGAGACTGATTAACTTGAGTCTTTTCTTTTTCTTCTTAGCCCCGTTGGTCCTCCTTAGAGCAAATTGAATTAGAATGAGCTAAGAGCCACAATTGACTTTACTATCCAAGCTCCTATCCAAGTCCGAGGTGGAGAAAGAAACAGAGTAAGAGGGAAAATAAAAAGTGGTGTGGAGCTGGTGTGACCGAGTCAAAGAGGGGTGAGGAGTTCGAGTCCACGCACCGACACTCCCACTAGTGATGTCACACACAGACTGTGGGAGTACTGGTGTTAGATTACAGCTTGTGTTTACTCTCTGGCTTTCCTTTTATGAAAACCATGCACTAAATATAATTACTTTGCAGGGTTGTAAACGTTTCCACTGATCCAACAGTGCCTATGTGGGCTGAGAGTATGCTTGTGTGTGTTTGTATTTTTTAAAATAGACGTGAGCTGGATAGTAGTTAAAACATTTTTTTTTATGTCCCAGTCTGGATTTGGGTAATTCACATGAAGCGTGGTGTGTCATTTTCAAAAATGTACCAATTAGACTCAAATAGCTTCCTGTGATCTTAACTTTTCTGGCACTAGTTTGGTTGTCTGATACAACACAGAAATAGTCCAGAAACCAAGAAAGATTAAATAAACTTAAAATGATATTTTTCCACTTATGTTGAGCCAAATTTCTGACTTTGTGTTGTTTTTTTTATTTCTGTCTCTTTGGCACAGAGTGCTTACAGAACTGGTGTCTAAGATGAGGGATATGCAGATGGATAAGACAGAACTGGGGTGCCTCCGAGCTATCGTCCTTTTCAACCCAGGTAACTATCACTACATGTTTATTATTTGCTGTAGCAGATTAAAGAAGTAGTGAATTAGGTGTCTCAGAGATGTGTGCTTTTCAAAAAAAAACTTTTTAAATTACAGTTTTAATTTCATTTTCAACCAAAACAATTGACGACTGGCAATCAGAAAACAGTACAATGGGGAAATGTCTAAAAGTAGCTGTAGTAGAGGGAGGTGGAAAGTAACATAACTGCCTATGAATTGAGTTTTGTAGTCTGAGATGTTCTACAAAAATAATAACAATAGTAAACATTTTTAGTATCATAGTATCACACTTTTTAGTGCACAGCTATTAAAAAGTGTTACCAAGCTACACATTATGCATTCTCAACGGAATGTTGACTTATCTTCGATGTGCGATTGTTCTCAGAGCAGTACGTCTAGAATGAGGTACGATTCATTAAATGTTAAAGTGACACGCCTAACATATGTTAGTATCAAACATTTTTCCAACAGGCTTGAAAGATAACTGTTAAAAAAGAGTTTTTGTATTGAAGCAGCTTGAATTTAGTTACTGTACAATTGATGCCAATTTTGACAGCTTTTCACAGCGGAGAAAAAGTATGGAAAAACTTGAGAAACTTCTCAAACCACACCTGCAGCATAATCCACTTCTCTCCTGCACATCAGTATTTGAAGTATTTTTGCAAACATTCATATTTTCAGTGAAAATATAGAGAAATACACCACCTCAGGTGAAGCTTTACAGCTTTGTAAAGGACCATAGCAGGGAACACAAGCGAGGAATTCAGACGTGTATGGAATGCACTGAATAAAACTACAAATATGACACCACTTGGATCCTCTGTAAAGGCCTGAATCCAAGGTGATCTTGGGAGTGAGGAAATCAACAGGCCTAATAAAGTTTAGATTTTGGGTGGAGTATCATTTTAGGTTTAACACTGATGACTCAGCTTGACCTCAGTAATATAACAGGAGAAGTAGGAACTGACTTTTGACTTTGTTTTCTTTGAACCTGACTTCTCTTGAGGAATTCAGACTTGTTTGTGACTTGTAAAACTGATGTGGTCTCTCCTCTGCATTGCACCGAGGTACAAAGCACAAAGTTACAGCTGGTGCGGTGTATATATGATTGATGAATAGATTGAAAGTAAATTAGTACATTTTTATTGCATAATATGGTTTTCTTGTGTGCTTTTTATATTGTTTTCCTGCAAAGGTCAGGCCAAAGAAAGTATATTACAGTGAGTCTTACCTAGAAATGCATCACTCCTTCTGTAGGTGTGCTTTCCTGTAATTAAACCTCATCCACACAGCACTGAAATATACTCAACCAAACCATCAGTGTGTGACCCAGGATTTAAATTACTCTGTGTGGCAGCCTTCCTCCGTGTCTCTGGGCCCACTGTGGTTCTGTTCACGCCAAAACAGGCTGATCCTCTGTGCTCCACATTTTGTTCAGGCCACATCAAGACCCGCCGTCCCCACTTCACTTGTCGGCCTGATTCCTTGTTAATTAGGGGTTCACTAAGCTGGTAGACTGATCAGGGCGGGGGGGTGGTTAAGGCTAAAAAAGCCCTCAGTCCTTGCTTTCCCACACTGTGTCATCTAGTCCACTTATTACACATAAATGTTCATTCATTGTTGATCAACTGTGCAAAGCTTTGTTCATCAGAAATGTTAATCAGTGACCTGTTTGTGTTGCTAATCAATGATGAAACCTCCAGTGCAGTTTAAATTAGTGCAGCTTTGAAATTACAGTACTAATTGGACTAACCCAGACTGTGGTGACACACATCCACAAAAAGAGGTTAAAACTCAGCTTGTATGTCCCCGCTCTCCATCGTAATCTCTTGAAACGAGTCGTTGACAAACTCATTCAACCACAATTTACATGGGACAAGTTCACTACCAACTGTAAGAATGTAAATATTTTAAAAAATGGTTTACATGTCCAATTGTATATACAGTAAGTATAGCAGCAGAACTTCCTTTAGACATGATTAGGGCTGTTATTGTTGTTTATTCTTTAATTGGTGTGTCTCTACAGACTCTAAAGGTCTGTCCAACCCAGGTGAGGTAGAAGCTCTTAGAGAGAAAGTCTATGCGTCTTTAGAGGCCTACTGCAAACAGAAGTACCCCGAGCAGCCTGGCAGGTAAGAACACAAACCCAGAGATGACACACATCCCCACACTGTGTCAACAGACAGAGAAATCAAAGCCGCTTGTATTCATCCTAAGCTCCAATCCACACAAGTTTTTAAAAGATAAAAATTATAGCTGTTCCACACAGTATCTACACAAGTAGTCGTTTTCATCAGTACAGTAGCTTCGAGTTCACCCTGTTATCAGATGTGATTGATTGCTTGTAGAAATGTGGTGTGCATGTGTAGTAGAGGACGTTCACTGTGTGGGTTGCAGTAATTTCACAGTAAATTAAATTAAACTGTGATTATGAAATTAATATACAGTTTCTTTTCACCAGGTGCTTTGTTTGTGCAATTGTGCAGTGAATTAAATGAGAAAAAAGACTAGCAAAAAAAGATTTTCAATCATTTTCATTAATTTAATTTTTTTCTTTCTTTTTTTTAATGTTGTAATCTCAATGTTCACCAGCCAGTTAGCAGTTTGGTTTCTGGAAAATTACCAAGATGCATTTTGGGATTTGAATGCCAGAAAATGTCAGTTCACCAATCTCTTGACATCATGAACTTGTGAAGTGCAATGTGATGAATGCCAACTGTTTGCCTGAGATTTGGATGTTTGCATAGTCAATGCCCCAAAATTTCTATATACTGTAAGGGTACTTATTGTGTCAAAATTGTGGGCAAGTTTTATTTACAAGTGTGGTGCCAAGTGTAAAAGTAGGCCAAGACATTTTAAGTCCTGCTGCTGGAAATAAGCAGAAGAAAAGAGAACAAGTCTAGCAGTATCAGTTGTCATATTAGAGCAGCTGAAACAAACACAAGATATTCATTATAAATCAAACAAGTGTTTTCCTGGTGAAAAAAGATATTTAGATTCATGATCATCCCTCCCTCTTTCTGTCAGATGTATAATGGTGATGTTTTATTTTATTCCTGTATCTAATTAGGTCTTGTGTTGCGACAGGTTTGCCAAGCTGTTGCTGCGGTTACCAGCGCTGCGCTCCATCGGGCTCAAGTGTCTGGAGCACTTGTTCTTTTTCAAACTCATCGGTGATACGCCCATCGACACCTTCCTAATGGAGATGCTAGAAGCCCCACATCAAATGACATAATAACAGAGAGGGTTGAAGCCTCCTCCCCCTCTCCTCCTCTCTCCTCCCCTGCATCTCCCAGCTAGCCCTAGGTCTGGAGCAGGGTCCTTTTTAAAATGCCATCCTCGGCTAGGGACAGATGACATAACAACTTTGGATGGAGAAACTATCCCCTTCTCTCCTCAGCTCCCCCTCATATGTTCTAAAACAATGAACAACATGTCTATGGGTCTGTTTTATACCTTGTAAAAATCTATAAATAAGGAATATATATATATATATAT